TATTTTTACATTACCAGCAACTCTTTGGTTACCAACATTTTTCAAATTACCATCTTTTATGTTCCACACAAGAAAGAAACTCATACAACTTGAGGATCAGTAAATAATGACATAATTTCAATTTTTAGGTGAACTGTCCCTTTAATGTTCCTCTCTCTCATCATTAGAAGAAGAAAGCAGGCTGTTGCTACCATACCTTCAAGACCTAAGTATGTAAATGACTTCTTTGACAACATTTCTGCTTGTCAATGATCTCCACAGTTCCACGATAAGATAGACCCCATGCTGGAGTCTCTGGAGCGCATCGCCGAACGCCTGCGCCAGCCTCCATCCATCTCTGTCGAGGTGGAGAAGATCCGAGAGCAGATATCGGAGAACAAAGCGGTGAATGTAGACCTGGAGAAACTTCAGCCGTCCTATGAGACCCTCAAGCAGCGAGGAGAGGAGATGATCGCTCGCTCCGAAGGAGCAGACAAGGACCTTTCGGCCAAAGGTAACTGTGCTGTTGTCTTCTCAGCGAATGAGATCTGGGCTTGAGTGACTACTTGGTTTTAAAGCAGTGTGATAAAATGCGTTCTTCTGTTTTGTTTAAAGCTATTCAAGATAATCTGGACCAGATGGTGTTTCTATGGAATGACATCCAAGCTCTTCTGGAGGAAAGAGAAGCCAAGCTCCTGGATGTTATGGACTTAGCCGAGAAGTTCTGGTGTGATCACTGCGCTCTCATCGTCACCATCAAAGACACGCATGATCTGCTGAAAGAGCTGGAGGAGCCTGGAGTCGATCCTTCAGTGGTCAAGCAGCAGCAAGAGTTTGCAGAGGTCTGGAGGCTTCAGAACAGGATGTTTGATATTGATTCAGCTTTGCGAAACATCTTCATAGTTGCTGTTTTGCTTCACAGGGCTTTAGAGAAGAGATCGACGGGCTGCAGGAGGAACTGAATGTGGTCCAGAATCTGGGGGCGGAGCTTATGACAGCGTGTGGAGAACCTGATAAACCAGTGATCAAGAAAAGTATAGATGAGGTAATGACTTCATAGGAGAATAAATGGAATACATTTTGTTGAATTGTTCATTTTAGACCCAGGATGTAAGTGTTCCTGGTGTAACTGAAGTGCTGGATGAGTCAGAGTTGGCGTCACACTGTATAATGTCTGACCACATCTCGTACGTCCCTCAGGTGAACTCAGCTTGGGAAACCCTCAATAAGACATGGAAAGAGAGAGTAGAGACTCTAGAGGAAGCCATGCAGGCTGCGGTGCAGTTCCAGGACAGTCTCCAGGTAAATATGACACACACAGACCACTACCCTCCTGATGACTCTGACCACAGATCTGTCTGCTCATGCAGTCATGGGAAGCTTCCCGAGCTAGTCTGTAGTCAGCATAGTCTGATCTGCTATCATGCTGAATGTGCTCATGGGGGAAAAAACTGTATTAAATGAATGATTCATGTGACGTGATTCAGCCCAGGCTGGTACCAAGAGGGTACGTGGAGACTTTGAAAAAGAGAGAGAGAAAAAAGTGCTTTTTGTCATTGTCATAGCGTAACCAGATCGAGAACATGCCCTACTTTAATCATGCTAAGCAAATGATTCACCCTGGTTGCTGAATAATTCAAGTTTTATGTCTCATAAAGTCTGTTCTATTGTGAATATTAACCAGTTTGCCCAAAACTTCAGATTTGAGTAGAATTGGTTTAGGTGTGGCTTAGTTTTGTTAATTTTCACTGTCACCTGAGCCACATTTGTATCGGGGCTATAAGTGAAACTCGACTCGATGCAAGGTGTGGATGTTGTGCAGCCTGTGACAATAGTTTTCTCCTCCCTGACAGAACATGTTTGACTCGGTGGATATTTTGGAAGGCAAACTGGATTCGATGTCGCCCGTGGGCACGGACCTGGAGACTGTGAAACAGCAGATCGAGGAGCTGAAGGTATTGATTTACTGCTTGCGTGTGGGAGATTTTCTCATAGCCATGACGCGATGCTTTTTTGTCAGTCATAGTGGATCTAGATCAAAGTTTAGAGCTATTTATCTCCAGCCTCTTTCATTTTTGATTGTTTCGTGAGTATAATTGAGCTGACAGACCACACAGCAGCTGTGTTTACACGCAGCCATTCATTTGCTTCATCTTACACAGTTGGTTTAAGACTGCACAATTGTAAATGTTTAACCATTCATGCTTTTAAAATGGCTTGCAGGTGAAATAACACGCTTTTAGCCCAAGATTTTATTTGTACGTAATTCCTACAAGAATTTATTAGTGGCACACAATAGCCTGCAGTATGTTATCATGAAGACAGTCAGATATGTCTTTAGTGAATGTTAACAGGGAGAACAAAAATCTAAATATCCGATCATTGCATTAATCCTTGCTGTGTAAATGCAGCCAGAGTGAAACAGTATCCTGATGTAAGCTGTGCTGTCGTGTGTGTAAAGGAGTTCAAAGGTGATGCATACCAGCTTCAGATCGAGATGGAAAGGCTGAACCATCAGACCGGGCTGCTGCTGAAGAAGGTGGTAGAGGAAGCCGACCGCACTTCCATCCTGGAGCCAATGAATGAGCTGAAAATGCTCTGGGACGACCTGGATAAAAAGATTATCAACAGACAGGTCAGGCACTGAGAAGGACCCATTTTGTGTCTGTAATGTGATGTATCCCAAAAGTGCAACAGGAAATTCCAAAAGGTAGCAGATTCTATTCACTGGGAATTGATTGGCTTGTTAAAAATTAGGTGTGAGCAGAAAGAATATAAATGTGTATGAAAACAAATAGGAACAATTGATTTCACGTGTAGGCCTGTTGCATTTATAGATAATTGCACTGATTGTTCAGTTTACATTTCATTGATCCTAATAAGGGAAATTTAAGCATTTAAAGAAATGTCATCAAATGCTCAAGTAGTAAGAATAAAAAATACACTGCTGTAAAGTACACAAAGGTCTTCCTTCATAAAAAATAAAGGCTTTTGAGTTTAATCAGTCTGTATATTATATTATACCGTACCATATTATATTATATCGTATCGTATCAATATTCTATTCTATTGTATCGTATCGTATCGTTTCATATCATATATATCATATCATATTATATTCATTAATTGTCACAGCATTGAAATTAATAATATGGGCCTATTTTATTATAACAAATTAGGTTTGCATTGCGACATGAACAGAACAGAATTACATCGTTAATTAACTTGACACTGAAATGCATTTGACATATTTTCGAGTAATGCAGACTGTTCTTAAAGAAGTTTAGACTATCGAAAAGAAGTCCAGCCCCAAACGCACACCGCTGGTTGACTCACATCTCCAGCACAGAAATAACAATACTTGATTTCTCACTACACTACGCATTCATAGCATTCTTGTAATGACTGCTGTGTGTCCTGATGTCTTGTAGCACAAGCTGGAAGGAGCACTGTTGGCTCTAGGGCAGTTCCAGCATGCTTTAGATGAACTTGTGGCTTGGCTCACTCATACCGAAGAACTGCTTGGTGAACAGAGGAAGGCCTGCGGCGACCCCAAAGCCATCGAGATCGAGCTCGCAAAGCACCACGTACGTCACAGTGAAAACGAGTTCATAATGCGGTCACTGAGCCACAGAAACACTCAGACGTATGGTCATTTCTTTCCATTGGGTAGGTGTTGCAGAACGATGTGCTGGCCCACAAGACCACGGTGGAGGCGGTGAACAAGGCCGGCAGTGACCTCATTGATTCTAGTGCTGGAGAGGAGGCGCAAGGTCTGCAGAACAAGCTGGAGAACCTCAACCAGCGCTGGAGGACTATCCTGGAGAAGACGGATCAGAGAAGACAGCTTCTGGACAGTGCCCTGCTGCAGGTCAGGAGCGAGTATGAGCCAGCCAGAGACCTGGCAACCCTCTGGAATCTCAGAGGCTGAGCGTTTCCTAAAATGGAGATATGATTGATGATGTTCTCAACATGAAGCCAAACATGTCCTCTCTTAATCTTAAAGAATGTGAAGGAGAAGCAGTAAAGAGTCCATACACACACATGCTCTCACTCAAAGAGTTTGCTTTGATGTGTGAACACTGAAAGGTTGACGGTGAATGATTTGACTATACAAATCAAGAAGAAGTAGGAACAATTGCAAAAAAACAATGTTCCCAGTTTTTATTTAAATTTAAAAAAAATATTTATTTTTGTTATAAAGTCAAGTTGACTCGAGAACAACTTTACATGTGTATATATCAAATATACACACTTAATATTAATAATGATATCTACGTCAACAAACAAACAAAATTGTAACTTTTTTTCCACATTAAAACAGGGAGCAGAGAAGTTGTTTATTGACTATGCTAACTCTTTTAGAATCCAGACAGCATTGTTCTCACAACTGAGAGATTTCCTACAAACAATCTGCTCATTACTCAAGCCGCACATAATGAATGTGTGACTCTATTGTTGTGACGCTGGCGGATCTGTGTTCAGGCTCAAGGTTTCCATGGTGAGATTGAAGACATGCAGCAGTGGCTGAAAGACTCGGAGCGTCAGCTGTTAGCATCAAAGGCCCTCGGAGGCTTACCAGACACGGCCCGAGAGCAGCTTAACACCCATCTGGTATGTGTTTAATACTACTACAGATCCGCCACCGATGGCCAGCTTGTAACAACTAACAAAACACAACGTTTGTAATTAAAAGATTTATGCATTTGTAATTGAGAACAGTTTTTGTTTGTTTTATCTGAGCATTTTATTAAAGAATGTTAATCACAAATCTTATTTAGAGGAATAATTCACCCAAAATTGAACAATTTGTCACCCTCAAGATGATTCAAACCCATATGACTTTCTTTCCTCCTTAATACGACATGAAAAATCTCCAAGCGGATGTTTTCATGCAAAATATAAGCATATAATGATCAGAATCAAGCTCCAGACAAAGCACAATATAGAAATATAGAGCGAGAGTTTTATGAACTACATTCACTATTCTTTTTGGAGCCTGACAGACCCTGGTCTATAATTTCATTCCGTGGAAAAGAGCAGCTTGAATATTCTGCAAAATCTCATTCTGTGTTCCACAGGAGGAAAAAAGTCTTACAGGTTTAGAGTCTGATTGAATATGAGGCTGATTGAATGGTGACCGAATTTTAATTTTCCGTTGAAAATCACAACACCAGTCGGGCTTTGGCTTTATCTAATTGAATGAATGTGCAATCAAAAAAAAAAAATCCCAATTTCTATGAAACATTTGATAGACTTCTGATTTCTGCGGATCTGTAAAGAAAATAATTGCACTCAAACATCAGAAGTAACTCTTTGAACAGTCAACATATGTCAGGTTGTCAGTGAACATGATGTCTGTGTGTTTGTAGGAGCTCTGCAGTACACTGGAAGCCAAGGAGGAAATATACAAGCAGCTTCTTGACCGAGGGCAGCAGATTTTGGCCTTGACCCCTGAGGGTCAAGACAGCACCACCGAACTGGACCTGCGCAACCTGCAGGAGAAGTGGGCATGTGTTCGGGCCAAAGTGACAGAGAGGAAGGTGAGAGTCTGATTTACTCACTCTGCTCTATTAGGCTCCTCTGTGTTCTTCCTGTCAGTCTGACTCATTCTCATCATTTCTGGGCTGTTGGTTTGGACCCCAGAGCTAAAGTCCTGATTATGTTCATGTAGCTGTGATATCAGATCTGTCAGCTGTTGTGCTTTGATGTGGTCAGATGAGCGATTCCTTTTCGCTCGAGCACAAGCCCAAAGTAAGTAATAAATCACTACAGAACAAAGTAGAGTTGTCTGCGGTCTCTACAAAGCTGCTGAAGTGGAGTAAACCACTAGATTCAGCCAAAAACAAAACTACTTCTGTCATCATTGACCACCTTTATCGTCGTTCCAAATCTGTGATTCGTTTTTTTTCTTTCTGTGCCACTCGAAAAGAGAACATTTGAAGATGAACACACTTCTCTTTTCCATACAATGAACGTATACGGTATAGAATAGACCATGAAAGCACATTGAAGATAAGGTACAGTAAAAATAAGACTTGAGTGCTGTATTCTTAAAAATATATAGGTGAGTGACAGATGACCACATATTCAGTTCTGGGTGAACTAATTATCGATGTTCAAAATTAGCATATAGTGTTTGATCGGCTATAGGTGAAACTGGAGGAGGCCCTGGCGATGGCCACAGACTTCCATAACTCACTTCAGGATTTCATAAACTGGCTGACGCAGGCCGAACAGACCCTCGCTATGGCCTCGCCTGCCTCCCTCATCCTGGAGACCATCATGTTCCAGATAGATGAGCATAAGGTCAGTGCTCTTTGACATGATATGCAACATAAGTCTAATAAAAACCTGCTTATTGCTGAAACTTCACCCCATAGATTTTTTTAAACTGCATTTTATAGATCTTAAAATGTTAGAACAGTTCATCTATGCAGGTGTTTTGCATAAAAATTGCAGAAACTTATGTAATAACAAATAGTAATGTAATAACTACACATAAGTATATTATTAATGTAATAAAATGTTCATTTTCTTAAAATGTATAGGTGTAGTAAAAATTGTCACATTATAAGAAATCTATTACATTATAAAGTCACCAAAACATTGTCATATTGTTATAATTGTAATAGTTTTTTAAAAGTAAATGAAATGCACCAGATATAAATTCATGCAACTGTTATTCTTATTGAATAGCGCATTACTTCTTATAAATACGTAAGCATATGAAATATTTGGCAACAAAAAGTGTACACACTGCTGTATGGTAAAGAGTGTACAATACCAACACTGTGTACAAAGTATGGCTTATTTTGTAAAAAATAAAAATCTTCAGAATCAGTATAGAAAAAGAAAAAAGAAATCTCTTTAAAAACTGTAACTTTAAAACAACAATGCTAATATTATATTGTTGCAATAATGTTAATATTATTAAATGTGTTATATTGAAAGATATATTGCATGTTCTTACTCTAATAATAACAACAGTAGATTATGCATAATTACCTGCAATAACCCTAAACCAAAGCCAAATCCTAACCCTGTAGTAAGATCATGTTGTTAATTAATATTACTCGGTACTTAGGACTCCATAAAATACATTGTTACTGATAATTATTATATTATAACATCGTTTCTACTGTACACTCTGTGCTTATTTTACATTATCAACTGTGATTATATTGTAAGTGCGATCATACTGTAATACATTTTTCATACAATAACATAATTACATTATGTGAAAAATCATCATCTGTTGCTACTTGCATTTCAATGTGACTTTAAATGAGTCATATTGTTGCAGTTGAAATAAATATTCCTTTTCCATAATTTTTATTTATTTTTTTTCTAAAATGGATCTGCTGGATTTGCAGGTGTTTGTGACTGAGGTGAACTCACATCGGGATCAGATCATCGAGCTGGATAAGACAGGAACACACCTCAAGTACTTCAGTCAGAAACAGGACGTGGTGTTGATCAGGAACCTCCTGCTGAGCGTTCAAGGCCGCTGGGAGAAAGTCGTGCAGCGGTCAGTGGAGAGAGGACGCCTGCTGGACGATGCCAGGAAACGTGCCAAACAGGTGGGAAAAATAAAACTCATTTAAAAGCCATGCTTTTTTAATCACACATCCTTGCTAGATATAGTCACTATAGGAATGATTGAATCACAGATAACTTAATTGGACTTCTTTTGCCACTGACATTAAAGAGTCTCGTTAAGTTGATCAAAGTGAATTTACAATGCAGAAGTTTTTTTTTTGACATCCTTGGCATTCTGTTAAGGGTCTACAGATGAAAAATAGCCTTTCGGCTAATTTCTGGCACATTTACAGTAATGTTCTCTATATGTGAGCCTGGAGCACAAAAGCAGTGTTAAGTCGCTGGGGTATATTTGTAGCAATAGCCAAAAATACATTGTATGGGTTAAAATTATAGATTTTTCTTTTATGCCAAAAATCATTAGGATATTACGTAAAGATCATGTTCCATGAAGATATTTTGTAAATTTCTTACCGTAAATATATTACAACTTCATTTTTGATTAGTAATATGCATTGCTAAAGACTTCATTTGGACAACTTTAAAGATGATTTTCTCAATATTTTGATTGCTTTGCACCCTCAGATTCCAGATTTTCAAATAGTTGTATCTCAACCAAATATTGTCCTATCCTCACCATACATCAATGGAAACTTATTTATTTAGCTTTCAGATGATGCATAAATCTAAATTTTTAAAAATTGACACTTAAGACTGGTTTTGTGGTCCAGGGTCACGAACGTGCATTGCCCCTGTAAACAGATAAACTTAAGTCATAGTATAAGAGGATATGAAGATCACTCATGTGCGTATTGTGAGGATTCTTCTTGACCATGAACGGGTCTAAATAAGGGGTATAGGATCAAATAAATGTAGGGAAGTCCCTGTATTTTCGCTGCAAGACAAGACAAAAGATTTGTTATTCCCATGCATAAAGCCAGAGCTTCACAGGAATGGCTTAAAACAACAATGCTTTCAATCCTGGAGTAGCCAAGTCAAAGTCCAGATCTCAGTCCAACTGAGAATTTATGAGGGAATACGCTGTCCACTCACAGGTTCCATGCAGCCAGACTGATCCGGAGCTGTAAATCAGAATGAGAAACACTGCAGTGGCCAGATGTGCAGAGCTGATGATAAAGATCTACAGTATCAACACAGACTTTCAAAGGCGCATCTACTAAATACTGACCTGAGGGGTTAAATATGTACTGTATGCAAACAAGTATTTAATAACTGCCATCGATTTTTGAGCAAACGTGTTGGACATAAAAGAATATGTTGTGGTTCGGTGTGGAAAAAAGCCAAAAGAAATTCTCTGTGGTTCAGTGATGTAAAACATTGTTTGGTTCGCTCTCATCTTCTGCAGTTCCATGAGTCCTGGAACAAACTGATGGAGTGGCTGGAGGAGTCCGAGAGAGCGCTGGACTCTGAGCTGGAGATCGCTAATGATCCGGACAAGATCAAGACGCAGTTAACCCAGCACAAGGTGACGACACCAGTCCAACACACGTCTGCTGTTAACAGGTGTTCGCAAGTGATCAGCCGAGACACGTGACCTCTTCCTCCTGGTGCCAGATGCATAATCTAGGTTAAGAGCTAGTCTGGCCAAGTAGCAGTTAATCAAGAGCTAATAAGGATTACTTTCTGGATTAAATCAGACCAGCTAACTTTTAATGTAACTGATACAAAAAGCCATGACCATTCTTGAAGAAGAAAAAAAACAAGATGACTAACTTCCAAATGCCTCTCTTGTGACCACCTCTCTTATTTTGACACGCTCTACATCACTTTAATGGAAATGAAAAGTGAACAAACAAACCCATGTTACGCAGCTTATGAGTAAGAGGGAATGGAAGCAAGCAAAAAGGGTAAGGAGTGCAGCTGTAATTTCGGATTGTAATCCATTTGAATCGCTTGTAGTGCTGTGCCTTCATATCCTAGAACAATCACGTGTTAGAGGAACAGGCTACTTTTCACCACGCTCACATTCAGGACAGATGAGCATTTAAACTACACTTATACACTGAACAGTTTACTCGTTTGCACCTATATTTGGCGCTGACCACTTGTGATCCGGTCACAAAAAATGGATTTAAACAGACTTCCTGTTCACACCATTAGCACCTATGATTTTATCCCCCATCTGTGTAAGTGGAACATCTGACGTGTTGCTGAATGGACAGCGTGAATCACAATACCAGGTGTTTTTTCACTCACGGCTATTGTGTTTTTCACTGACTGTGGGTCAGAAGTGTCATCCTGTTAAACTCCTGTATAATTAGTTCCCCCACTTTTTGGGAGATGTTTTTTTTTATGTTTTAACATGCGGATGCGACATCTAAAGTCTGTCTACAGTGGATTCAAATCATTGAACTTTGTGTCAGTACGTCATAAATAGAACGCGGCAACAGTGTACTGCCAGGGATTTGCCGCGCCACATTCAGTGTAGACAGCATCACTGATTATAATGGGTTTGCTTGTCTTTTGTCGCGTTGCATCACTCCGCTAGCATCCAGTGTGGACACGGAGAGGTTATGATTTCAGGCCGCACAATGCCGAAAAAGTGAAGAAAACAGACTGAGATGTTAGATGTTTTTCAATTGCAATTCTTTAAAACTGAATCAGGCTCCTCAGTCACAGATGATGTGCAGCATCAGTGGTTTCACGAGTGGGCGGCACTCAGAGCAGAGGATTGTGTGCTGCGTGGTGGTATGTAATTAACAGCTCAGCAGTGCTTCAGATGTTCTGATGAGTCAGTCACAAATACAAATGGCAGGATTCGATGACATCGGGCTTCCCGTAAGGCCTCACAGGATGGCTTGCGGGACATGTGCCCTTGAGCTCCGTTCGAATGACCCTTCGCCTCTGTTTGTCTTGTGTGGGGGATTGTAGGAGTTCCAGAAAGCTCTGGGCAGCAAGCATTCGGTGTATGACACCACCAGTCGCACGGGCCGAGCTCTGAAGGACAAGACCTCCTTGCTAGATGACAACCAGAAACTGGACGACATGCTCAGTGAGCTCAGGGACAAATGGGACACAGTCTGCGGGAAATCTGTGGAGAGGTACATGCGCATTTGGGTGGATTTCAGGAAAACGCCAGACTTTCCCCTATTAAAAAAAAGTATATATTTTGCATAACCAAATTTAAGGCTCTTTCGGGTTTTATTAGAATGATGTGTATTCTAGAATCTGACTGTTTATGCACATTTGCAGCCAAACTCTTATTACTGCAGTGTTCCCAGGTGTTTTATGTTTTACTTTTAGAATTGCCATTATTCTTAAAAGCGATTCTCTTTACAGTAATGAAATATGAATTCAAATCATAGTGAATTAAAGGCAGCAAAACGTAAACGCAAAATAGCTGAGGTGATTAAAAATCCCTCAAAAATGTATTGTCTGGGAACACTTTACAGTGAGGTCCTATTAGTAAATGTTAGTTAATGCATCAGCTACTAATGAGCAATACATTTGTTGCAGTATTTATTTGTTAATATTAGCACATAAAAATACAACTGTTCATTGTTAATTCATGTTAGCTCAGATCCATTAAATAATATTAACAGATTTTGATTTTAATGTATTAGTAAATGTTGAAATGAACTGACAAACTAAAATTAAGCATGCTTTAGAAGTATTTTTCATTGTTAATGTTAACTAATGTAGTTAACTAATGCCAACAAATGAAACCTTATTGCAAAGTGTTACCCATTTTCCTTTATGCATTCTTATGAATTCAAACCTAGCATATTAATGTTGAGTAAACAATATTTAATATCTGTGTTATTTGCCAACTAACTGTATGATTCATGGTCAGACAATATATATATATATATATATCATAAATGTCATAACTATGTATTTGACATCATATGGGCTATTTTTTCTACAGGCAGAATAAATTGGAGGAGGCTCTGCTGTTCTCAGGTCAGTTCACAGACGCACTGCAGGCTCTCATCGACTGGCTTTATAAAGTGGAACCACAGCTAGCTGAAGACCAGCCTGTGCATGGAGACATAGACCTCGTCCTGAACCTCATCGACAGCCATAAGGTACCCATATGAGTTTGACTCAAACCTGCTTCTTCATAACTGGACTCTAGATGGATGAACGAATGAATGAAATTGAAACAGATATCTAAATTAACGAAACAACATCATGAAAAACAATCACAGTATATTACATGATTGTTTTGGCACATCCCTAGATATTTTCAATATTCTCTCATAATCTTTGTCCATCCATTGAAAGTCTAGATTAAACTTTTTTTTTTCATTATTCTGTGTAATCTGAGTCTTCTGAAGAGACATGATTTGCTTTACATGACAGATTTAATTTAAGCTTTTAAACACATACATTTTAGGCACATACATTGGGCACATCAGCACATACTGTACTGTACGCAAACTCAACGAGCCAGAACAAACCCCATCTAAAATACAATTCAAATCTAGGTAAAAAAAAAAACCGACGATGATAAAATATGGTGATGACACAAATGAATAAAGTGCACCCTGGGATATACCAATCCGTGTATCATTCGATCATTAGTTTTTTTATTTAATATTGAAAGTAGAAGTATTGGAAGTATTTAGTATTGAAAACGGCTCCTTTTTCGTTTTTTTTTTTTTTTTTCAAAAAACGAAAAACAAGAATTCAGCTTAAATTTTAGTTTTTCGTTCAGGGGTAGAAAAATTAATAAACAGCTTGAATATTCAATTTCTACACATGGGCGAGAATTAAACACCCCTTTCTGCTGATTGGTCAGCCGAAGATCAAACCGTGCCGTCATCAGTTCTTCTGCAGTATCATGCAGCAGAATAATAGTCCTCCACTGCTGCCGTTGTATTGATTCTTAACACATTTATTGCAACTACATTTCATCTTTTTTCATCAAACAAACAGGCTAATGAATAGCTGGACACAACTCATACCGGGGAAGAGTCTAGACAGGGCTTTCTTCTGTGTAGATATAAATTCTATTCTTTGCATCAGCTGGCATGGCAGGGTATGATATGACAGCTGTCATAGCCTACCCTGCTCACCCAGTAAGTCTGTTTGTTTAATTAATTAATTAATTCGTTTCAAAATAAATATTTTAAACACTAAGACAAAAAGCAAGGAATAATAAATTGGCTTGGGTATATATAGGCCTATAATGTTTACGCAAGACCTGTCATTTTGACTGACAATCGGAGAACAACAGATATTAAATAGCCTACTGTTAGAGTTTTATAATGTAGTCTTGTGTTTTATTAAAATTGATTATAATTGATATGATATCTCAAAAGGATATGCACTTGTGCGCGGCTTGAGCTGCTGCGCACTCGCACTGCAACGCAAGATTTTCATAAAATATAATAACTTGCCATTTCGGTTTGTTTCTCACCAAACCCTCAGTATACCTTGAGAATGCTTGGAATATACGCCACGAGATGCATAGGATTATTTTACGACAGATATGCATCCGCTTCAAAACAACAAACAAAACCTAAAGTCACCATTCTCTGCCATTAAATTGGCAAGTGCCAGCAGGACATTTTTGTGTTATTAAGTAATAAGCCTTTAGAACAACATTAAGGTGAGTAGTCACTCTAGTTCACACAGTTCCAAAATATTGCGATGGGTTAAATAAACTCAATAAGCAGACAGACGCGACTACAGTCAAGCGCAGAAGTGCACAGGAAATAAGCAGCAGTCATATTTAAAGCAGTTAAAATTAATATTGAGTACCGATTGATGGTCACTTGGATTTTTTTCCCCATCGAGGGAAAATAACTTAATACTCCATCATTTATAGTCGTATGGTAAAATGTATATTTTTAATTGTGTAACGTTATGTTCAAAATAACTACAAAATGTCATGCCTTTGAAAAATAAAGAGAACAACAGAATGTGCTGCTTTAGCGTCTCGGTCTCCTTGAGCATCTTTCCGGCGCATGCCACAAACATGAACCACAGGGAATACTTGTCTTTTAAAAGGCTTCATTTAGATGATTTGACGTTAAATGCATCATATAAGTCACTTTGGAATAAATCACAGTAGGCCTATCATGATAAAAAAAAAATACTTTAGGCCAGTGTTTCCCAACCTTTTTTTAGTCGCGGCACCCTTTGGAAATTTTAACAAACTTGTGGCAACCTACAAAATCAATTTTGTCACAATATTTGAATTTCTAACTTCGATATGATCATTTGAAAAGCATAGATATTCGGTACAACAGGGAAGAACTGCAGAATATAATGTCATACAGATATTTTTAATATTATTTAAAAAATGTTGTCCATCAATGTTGGCAATCAGTAGGCTAATTTCTAATGAAGAGACCAGTTTATATGACAGATTTTAATGTAGGCTTTTATACATATGTAAACATGATTTAATTACCATTATAACTAGCTATCTCACAAATTTTTGCTCACTCAGTGTTTTTTTTATTTTACAGTGGGGTAATTTTGGTGCAGTAGCATGAGATAGCTTGATTTCAAACTTTGAATTGAATAAAAAATTACAAGTAAGCAGTCAGTAATAAAATAAAAACAAATAAAGAAATTAATAATGATAGCACAAATAAAAAATAAAATTAAATAAATTGCTTTTTAATTTTTTCAGGTAGGTCTAATAGGGTTAAGATATTTAACTCTTTTTTTTTTTAACAATTATCCAAATAATGTTTAGTCCTAGAAAGCTATTATTATCAGAACACGTGAGCATAACTTGCGGTTAGCAGATCAATGAATGAGAGGGCAGCATTACCAGAATTTCCCATATACCACACCATGTTACAACACAGTAGGGCTAAATATTAAAAAAAGATTTTTTACACGGCACCCCTGCTCTCGACAGACGGCACCCCGGTTGGGAAACACTGCTTTAGGCTATAGCAAATTATTTCTTGGACCCTCTATCACTTTAAGAACTGCTGGTCTACACAGAAGAAAGTCCTGTCTAGACTCTGCCACGTTTGAACATTTTAGCTATTTAAAAATATTAAAAAATGATTTTTTTTACACGGTACCCCTGCTCTCGACAGACGGCACCTCGGTTGGGAAACACAATCAGCAGAAAGGGGCGTTTAATTCCCACCCACGTGTAGAAATCGAATATTCAAACTGTGTATTAATTTTTCCACCCATGAACGAAAAATTAAAATTTAAGATGATTTCTCGTTTTTCGTGTTTTGGAAAAAAACAAAAAAACGAAAAAGGAGCCGTCTTCATAATCATGACGTGACACATGTCATGAATATGAAGGGTTTTTATGCATGTTTATGACAACTGTCATTAAGTGTCATTCACTCAGTTATGTCATTTTTTATGCAAAGATGACATTGTTTGAGATGTCTTTGTTATGGGCTATGGTTAGGGGTAGGGTTAGGTCAAATAATGTCCTCTTTACATTAAAAATTACATAACTGAGCGAATGACACTTAATGACAGGTGTCATAAACATGCATAAAACCTTCTTCATATTCATGACATGTGTCATGTCATGATTATGAAGGTGTCATGTCAGTCTTACGCACACCCCTTCAAGTAAAGTGTTACCAAAATTGTTTATAATAACAATTTTCCACATTCTTTTTGACCGTTAGAATAAAACAAGCTGCTGTAGCTACTGTAAAAACATCTATGTAAATCACCACGGTTTTGATTGGCTAACCCTGCATGTAAAATCAGGAACAAAACAAACTTACAAGTGTCAGAATTGCTGTCAGATCCAGAAGAGTTTGTGCTGCTCCAGCCTTCAATAACCAGACCACAATGTGACACTCACTGTTCGGCCTAATGCTGGGATTCTTCTGAAGGAAATGAAGAGAATAGGATCAGGAATAGCATCTTTTCTAGTTCATTACTTCACTGTGATGGGATGACTGATATCACAACCACAAGGATTTCTGAAAAAGAGACTTTTTATTTACTGTTAAGGAAGCTTTTGTGTATGAAAGTAACAGTATATTTGAACTCCAAAACATAGGGTATCAGAGGATTTTAAAAATGCTCATTTATAGGCATGGTAAAAAAAATCATTAAAAAAACTTATTTATATCTTATATACTGTATATAGCCCCGCAATAACCTCCCCTTGCTGGGTTGCGTCGAAAGTCGATGATCTTGTATCGATGATAGCCAGAGATATTGTCAAAATAAAGATTAATATATTTGGCATTTCAAATTAATGTAGGCCTGTTACATTCTTATTTTTATTAGGCCTTTTATTATTATTATGAAGTTACTTTTATTATTAAATTAAAATGACAATTAATTTGCCCCGCAATAATGACGTGCTGCGAGGATAACAAAAGATTAGGCTATATATTTACTCCTCAATTAAAATTTTTTTTTTTAAAAATACAGGTCTATGCAATGAAATATAGGCCTATGATTAAAATATGAACACTTCAGTCATCAATAAAAATCAATGAAATAAAAAGATTTTATTTCAAGCACCGACTTTCAAAAACAACCTTTTTAACACGAAATATGTTTCTTCTCATTTTTTTTCACTATGTAATATTAGAAATAGTTAGCTATATAGCGTTATCAGCATATGTTGAAGTAGATTGGTCTCGTCGTCTCTGAGAGAATATGCGGCGTCAGATGGTGAAAGCTACATCGTTCCGTTTTTACTTTCACTTTCTGCATAGTGAATTGAATTGAGATTAAGACGTTCACCGGCGTAACTCTTGGTCAAAGTTTGCACGTTGTTTGTGTGTGATATCCATTGGCTCGCCTTCATGGTTTAAAATATTTCCAACATTTCAACGTAACCAGTTACCAACGTACCAAACCGAACCGTGACACCACTGTGTCGTATCAAACCGAACCGTGAATTTTGTGAACTGTTATAGCATTTCTTTGTTGACACCACGACACCACTGTGTCGTATCAAACCGAACCGTGAATTTTGTGAACTGTTACACCCCTAATATATATATATATATATATATATATATATATATATATATATATGTATCTGTAAAAGCAAATCTGTATATTTTATAATAATAATATTTTTTCTGTAAAAAATAGTGAAAAAATATCATCAACTATAAATTGCTCTCTGTGAATGCACATGTTGAACACGTTTGTACACTGTTCCTCAGGCTGAGGAGTTCCACTCCACCGTTCATATCTTACTGGAGTGGCTTGCAGAGGCCGAACAGAGCCTTCGCTTCCACGGTGCTCTGCCTGACGATGAAGAAGCCCTCCGCGCTCTCATTGAACAGCACAAGGCAAGTTTCCCACAACAATAACAAAGAATCCACACGTGTGACGTTTACCTTGTAAAACCTTTCAGTGACAACAGCATATCAGTATTTACTGGCAACAATGATGGGCCACAGTAAACACAAAAAATGAAATTGTATCTGTTCTACATTACAACATTGAGTTTAAATGCAAGTGTGTGCCAGAGGGATCGTAATCTTTCCAAGACAGAACGTGTGTGTGTGTGTGTGTGTGTGTGTGTGTGTTTTCCACAACCCTGACATTCTTTTTTTATTAGCTCCACTCATAATGCGAGGTAGTGATCCGTAGCCCGGTCTCTCTCCACGTCCAACTGAGTAACAAAAGCCATACATGGCTTCAAATCTTTATTAACTACTGCTTGCCAGGAAAGAGTTCCCATATTTCATCTCATATAGTGTGACCTCATATTCAATATCCAAAATAGTTTGTTCCCCCGAGACATTCACGTTCACAGTTTGAGAAAGCAAACATCCTGGGAGATTATATGTTTCATCTTTGGTAAAGACGCCAGTTACTAACGATGGGTAGTAATAACTAATCTCTACATACTGAGAATCATAATTCTTTGCATTGTGGTGTCTGAGCCTTCTCTTGAAATGGCGAGCCAAATGCGTTTCACACACCTAACTTTGTCCTGAGGCATGATTCGTGTCCTCGAATCATGAAGCAGTGTTGTTGGAGATGGGCTACTCTTTGTGTAACCATGGCCATTTAATAATGGAAGAACATTTGATGCATGCAGGAGTTTATGAAGAAGCTGGAGGAGAAGCGACAGGCCCTGAATAAAGCCACGAGTTTGGGAGAAGCCGTCCTGTCCATCTGCCACCCAGACTCCATCACCACCATCAAACACTGGAACACCATCATTAAAGCGCGGTTTGAGGAGGTTCGTCCGTTTCTCCCAAACATTCTGATGAGAAGCACATCATATTTAGGCATCATATGTATATTTTTTATAAAAGTAGGTTACTAAAAGTAAAGTTCTGCTCACTTCAAATCATCCGAGGGACATGTAAAATGTCCAAACGCATTCAATGACAGATTTTTACCACAATAACTGAAAGAGTGAGGAAAAAAAGAACATTTGGTTGCACAAAAAATGCAGAAAACATGTATCTGCCTCAAACAACACTTTCAAGTGTTTTTTCAGATTTGACACCACTCTCATCTGGATCAATTAATCCAGAAACTAGTTATTTTTCAAAAGTGCTAATTTTCCTAACTTTAAAAATACAACAGTTCCTTGCACAAAAAATGCAGAAAACATGTATCTGCCTCAAACAACACTTTCAAGTGTTTTTCAGATTTGACACCACTCTCATCTGGATCAATTAATCCAGAAACTAGTTATTTTTCAAAAGTGCTAATTTTCCTAACTTTAAAAATACAACAGTTCTAGGCGGACTAAAAAAAACTATGTTTTTCTGTCATTTCCGAAAGTTGTGTGAAGGCAGCCAATCAGATCTTGCCAGATTAAGAAAGTATTTTCCTGTTTTGTGTGCTGCTTCAAATATCTGGGCTGGTAACCAAAAGGTTGTAGGTCAGATTCCACAGTGGATGATGCATAACTGTTAGCGCTGTGTACGGTATGATCAGATTTCTGTGTGATGGTCAGGTAACGGCCTGGGCCCGTCAGCACCAGCAGAGACTCTCCAGTGCTCTGGCCGAACTGCTGGCCACTCAAGAACTGCTGGAGAACCTGCTGAACTGGCTGCAGTGGGCGGAAACCACGCTCGGCGAGAAAGACAAGGATCCTCTTCCTCAAGAGTTAGAGGAAGTCAAAACGCTCATCGCTGAGCACCAGGTACCGTCAAGAGCTGCAACGTCATTACATAATTAGTATGAATTGTAGGAACAAGCTGTTTGTGTCTCCGTTGTGCACCAGGCATTCATGGAAGAGATGACCAGAAAACAACCAGATGTGGACAAAATCACCAAAACTCATAAGAGAAAAGCCACAGCGGATCCTCCGGTTCAGTCTCAGATCCCTGTTCTAGAGAAAGGACGGACAGCAAGTGAGTACCAGCATCCAATCTGAGCCCCATATTTTCATTCAATTTGGCACAGAAATAAATAACAGCCCACATAGAACAAAATATTTTTTCTGGTGTTTTTTTGTTAGTACTTAACAGAAAAGATTATGCATATTTTAAATAGACATCGCAATAAACATGAAGTTGACTTTATAGTAAGTGAACTAAAATAAACATTAACAAAATCTTAATTGAAAATTCTACTTTAATATGATAGCTTATTTAGCTTTTGTTTATGGTGAAATTAAGTTGTAAAAAAGATTTGAGCTTGTGTCTAAAAATATATGGTGTTTTGTATGGTATAAAGTATGGTGTGGTCTTTAAAATAAATACACTTTTTACTTAGTTTTTGTCTTTGGGATCAATATTCTTGATTAATATTAAATCAAAATGTAAGTTTTGAACTAGGGCTAGGCGATATGGCCCAAAAAAATATCATGATATTTTTTTTCATATCAGTCAATATCGATAAACTAATACATTTTCCTTAACAAAATACATATCTAAATAAAAATATATATTTTCTTAGTTTCTGCATGTTCTAATGAGTGATATTGTTTCAAATCAAGAAACAGGTTTGGGTTGCCTGATAATATTAATAATAATAATAATATCACTTTTTTGTCTCTTAGAAATGCACATTTGATAGTAGCTTGAGTTAGGATGCAGAGGTAAATTTTTGTTCATTATCAAAATCAGTAACATCTGTGAAAAATTGTAGCAACCTCAGTTTTATATGGTTACATTTATTCTGACCAAGTTTTTTTTTTTTATTAAGCATTGGTCTCCCACAGTAGCATACATTTAAATCTACCCTAGTTTGAACTGTGATCCGAGTGGATAAACGGTCTGTGTGGCCCAATTCAAATGAGTCAAGCTGTTTCGTTCCGCTTTTGGCGCATAAACATTATATAGAAAATGTATCGAACTCTTCATATCGTTTTATCGAGAAAAATTATATCGTGATAATCATCGTTATCGAATTATCGCCCAGCCCTATTTTGAACCAAACCATAAATATAATTTGAGAACTAAATTTGGCTGTAACACATTAGTATTTTTGTTTGTTTTTGGTCCAAAGTAAACTCTTTTTCAGTGAACTTTTATGAATACTGTGAATCCAGACATACTACTCCTTTCACAAACTGATTTTCACCTACTGCAGTAGCGAAGTATGCAATTTGGGCACAGCCCTAGAGTAGACCAGTGGATAAAGTTTTGGGCTCATAACCAAAAAGCTCTAGGTTCAAATTCTGCAATGGGTCACCTATGAACTCTTTAAGCAACACCACAGCCCCCTTTGCCCCCCACTTATGACCCTGGGTTTACTGTGTGTCATCTTCATCACTGTCCTAGTATTATGACTCTTCCCATGTTATTCTCTCTTTAGGATGAGCCACTTATGGTGTAGCTCTCCTCATTTAAAAAAAACAGCATCTGTTAAATGAACAAATGTAAATGTGTGCCCTTGAGCTATACACTAAATGACTAATTAATGCTAATAATTAAGTCGTACTGTCCACCAATCAGAAGTGCACTCACTGGTTGTTTAGGTTTGGCTGATGAAGCCATTTGTTTGTTTGGTCATCAGGAAAGAGATCTCCTACACAGTCCATGTTCACCGCAGCATCACAGGCACAAATCGAGACTAAGAACCCCCGAGTGAACCTGCTGGTCAGTAAGTGGCAGCAGGTGTGGCTGCTGGCGCTGGACAGGAGGAGGAAGCTCAACGATGCTCTGGACAGACTAGAGGAGGTCAGACATACATACACACCTGACCTCACACCTGTCTCAGACTCCTGTCAGGTGCCTTCCTTCACATTCATTTTGAACGCTCATCTTCCCTCAGCTGAAAGAGTTTGCCAACTTTGACTTTGACGTATGGAGGAAGCGCTACATGCGCTGGATGAACCACAAGAAATCACGTGTCATGGATTTCTTCCGCCGTATTGATAAAGACCAGGATGGCAAAGTCACAAGGCAGGAATTCATCGATGGCATCCTATCCTCAAGTAAGAAAAGATTTCAAACCGTGTGTTGTTTAGGTCTAAAGATTCTCAGGCTTTGCCCTAAACGCCTCTCTGGTCCTGTAGAGTTCCCCACCAGTCGTCTGGAGATGAGCGCTGTGGCAGACATCTTTGATCGGGACGGCGACGGCTACATCGACTACTATGAGTTTGTGGCTGCTCTGCATCCCAACAAAGATGCTTACAAACCATTAACCGATGCTGACAAAATTGAAGATGAGGTAAATGTCATCAGCTTACTTTCTGGAAAGTTCTACGCAATAATTGGACGTTTCTTGTAGTCGTTTTCAGACTGATTTATGACTTCATGTGTTTAGGTGACTCGCCAAGTTGCAAAGTGCAAATGTCCGAAACGGTTCCAAGTAGAGCAGATTGGCGCCAACAAATATCGGGTAAGTGGCAGATTTTTCGTGCTTTCTGGACGAGTCGAAAAACAGAGTTAGTATGGAAGCCTTGGCCAGGATTTTCAAAATAAAAAGACACAAATAAAATTCACAAGACCCTCAAAACAATCAAGTACTATTATATGGTTGTGGAAACAAGGTGATGAATGAAATAAATAAATTGTTTATTAACCTAAGTTTGCCATTTTACAAAAAAGGTTATCTCGTTTCTCAGAAAATATGATGTCAAAAAAAATGATGATGTCAAAATATGATATTTTTTTGTGGCGACAACTTAATTGTATGTAAACAGTCTAGCAAAGTTCAGTCAAACATGGCCTGTATCCAAATGAAAAGGCCCTGATTCCTTGTTTCAAAGCTGATATAAGGAATCTTTGTGTTCCACAGACCCCTGTTAAACTGCTCCTCGACCCAAACCTTTTTGCCCCGACACTGCTGTTGCCAAAGCAGTAAAACTTACATTTTTACATGCCATTGCATTTTTTAGTCTCTCAAATGTGAAAGTTTTAGGGTTTTCCCCCGGTCCACTTCTATCCAACACTCCTAATAAACTGATCCTGTAACATTTGGTAACGGTCAGCCATTCTATTGCATAATCTGCCTATAATAAATACATATTTCTTCTGATTGGCTGGAGGCCTGTAACTGTGCCACTCTGAAGAAAAGTTGTATAGAACTTCTTTTGTATTTTATTTTTTTTGCCTTATTGTAAAAATCAAAAAGAGTTACTAATGTTTGTCTTTTTGCTGTTTCCCCCCCACATCAGTTCTACCTTGGAAATCAGGTATACATGCATAGTGCTTTTGATCGTTTTGTTTTATCTGATTCACTTTCACTGTGTCTTTTGTTCTAGACGGTGCAACTTCTGTATGCATATTTGGTTTGTGGAAAGACTTTGGTATATGGTATGATTTCTTATTTTTATTTTTTTTTGAGCAGAAAGCATGAGGCCATAATTTTCTGTGCTGTGAAATCCGTATGCCTTGGCCATATCCAACTGGCAGCAATCATTTGGCTTGTTGTTTTCTTTAGCTCCTATCTTTGGCATGGAGGATGAAGAGGAATGCTATGCTCAAGTGTTCCCCTACGTCTCCGTGCCAGTGCCCATATTTGTATGAAAACACAGCCTCAGAAAGAGTGTACAGTAGAATGCGCTGATAGCACACCCTACTGGACACACTGATCGTGTCCACCTTGTTTTAAAAGTGCAATAAGTAACTTTTTCTGTTGCAATAAAGTTTCACACATAATTGGTATATCTGACAAACGTTTAACATGATGAATTACTATGAATGTAGTTGTTTATTTTGCAAAATAATTGTTTATGCAATATATATAGGACACTTTTGAATGTGGAATAAAGTCATGGGTTACATACGCCAGCAGATTGAATATTTCTGTAATGCTGTTTATTATGAAAATATTTTGCTTTTGCTTCACCCACGCCCACAGGTGGCAGCATAAGGTCCAGAACCACTGTCAGTAACACAAACTCTGAGATGACTTTGTGCACCTTTAATGACATATAATGAACCACGCCACCACACAAGATGTTTTTTTTTTCATGATCAATCTTAAATTAGCACAAAGCCACAAATGAAACCAGTTGGATTGACCACTCATTTCACGTATTTTGGAATGAAACCAATGTTGTCAAATGGCTCAGCAGAGCAACAAGAGGAAGCCAGACATAAACAGAACAGAAATAGCATCTAACTGGGACTAATAATGTTGTGATTTGACTCACTGCTAGTTTTTACTATTTTGAAAAGTGTGTTACAGGACCCAGGTTTCTGATGTTGCTCTGCTGCGTGCCTGTCACTGACAAACATGACTGTATTTCGGAGGAATGACTATGTTCTCTGTTCGTGTCCAGTTTGGAGATTCGCAGCAGCTGCGGCTGGTGCGCATCCTGCGCAGTACGGTGATGGTGCGGGTGGGTGGTGGTTGGATGGCCCTGGATGAGTTCCTGGTGAAAAATGACCCGTGCAGAGGTAATGTCCACTTTATGTTGTACTGAACTGCGGCTTACACTGTTCAGACAGGTATTTTAAATCCATTGATATTGGGAATAACACAATTGTTCAACTTGTTTTATAAACTGTGTTTTATTCCCAGCCAAGACATTATGTTGCAGACACAAAGGTTCTGTTCCAAAAACCTAGTTGGGTTTCCTACATAGACAGCATTTGAACAGTTTCATTATTATGCCGCCTTCTAAGATACCTCGTTTTGGCAGTGAGTCCTTTATGGTGAAGCCAATCCCATATAGCACTGACACCAGCTTTGTTCAATACTAAACAATGTGTAGAACAAAAAGATCAAGTCTCATTTAAAAATGGACTACTGTGTCACTTCCATGTCAGTTCAGATGCTGCTTTACAGGAAGCACCTGCCAGTGTAGACAGTAGAAAGCAATGCAGCTCACTAGGTTTTGGAACAGAATCCAAAATTCCCAATAATTAAAGCCGTTTAAAATTTTGGAGAGTTGAGAATGTTACTGATGGATACTCTTATGTAGGCCGTAATCGTTTGTTGTGGCTGAATCTTTTCTTCCTGCACTCTAATTGGCTGTTTATGGGATTCTTAAAGCTTGCCGGTCTCTACCCATGAAGCCTTTCTTTCAGAATGTCCCTTCTCCTGCTGCTTTGTTTGTAAACCCAATTATCGTTTCTTCTAGTTCACCACCACGGGAGTAAAATGTTGCGCTCGGAATCCAATTCTTCAATTACTCAGTCTCCTATAGGTTGGCAACTCTCACACTTTCTCTCCTTGCTCCATCCCAGTGGTATGTGTGCATCCCAGTGTGTGTGTGTGTGTGTGTGTGTGTGTGTGTGTGCTGCAGTGATCCCTGAATGGTATTCTCATTAACATTAATCTCACGCTTCCCTTTCCATCGTGCTGTCTGGGACTGTTTAGCATGCGGTTTTGTGTTGTGTCCTCTCTCGCTTTCTCTGCATGTGCTTATTGTAGCTCTGTTGCAGTGCAGTGAAACTTGCTCGACAATCTCATCTATGCAAGATAATGCATAGATGAATAGTTCATCACATTAAAAAGAACTATACACAACAAACCAAATATTTCTTGCTAAATTGTTTTTCTAAACTGCAGTCCCTGAAGGGTATCCTGTTCTATTATATGACAATATATATATTTTAATGCAGCATCAATGAATTATTTAATTATTGATATTATTATTTTTTATTTTTTTGCCAGTGATGTGAAATGCATGCAAATCATTCCTTACATCAAACCAAAGTGCAAATCCATGTTTTTCTCATTTGAGTGGGTGCTCATCATTCCCCAGCCTGGTTAAAGATACTTTCATAAAAATCAACCCAGATCAGAACCTTTACAATGGCTTTCTGAAATAAGTTCCTGAAACTTGTTTTAAAGGAATGTTTAGGTTCAAAACAAGTTGAGCTCTGTGAACAGCATCTGTAGTTTGCTGTTGAGTACCACAAAAAATGGATTTGCCCCTCAATTTCAATCAAACTTGTGAACAAATTTGTTTGCAGTAATTACTGTGGGGTGATTACATTGATATAGACAACTTCACAGATCAAATAATAAACAGTTTAATTAAATCGACGTGTAATTGTTGGTACCACAGATGTAGGGCATAGACCTCAAGTTGAACTAAAGCCATAGTATTCCTTTGAATTTCAGAGGCTTATTTTCTGAACCGGTGTAAAAGGTTTTGCTTTGGCCTTGGCTCCAGGCTCATTGCACTGTTTAATGTTGTTCCTCCAGCTAAGGGCAGAACCAACGTGGAGCTGCGTGAGAAGTTTATTCTCCCAGAAGGTACCACCCAGGTGATGGCCAGTTTCCGCTACAGAGGTCGAAGGTCACGGCCGTCCTCAAGAGGCACCTCCCCTAACAGATCCAACTCTAGCCACAGCTGCCCCGCACAACCCAACCCACCCGGCTCCAACACACCCAAGGTATGGATATTGTTGATTAGGGTGTACAGAAATGTGTAATTCTGTTATGTTTTTGTCACATTATCCTGCCACCGATCACGAAGCTTGGTTCCAAAACCTAGTGAGCTGCCTTGATGTCCACTGCCTACATAAGCCGCTTTTCCACCGAAATTACCTTGAACAATTTGTCCCAGGAACTTTTTTTCCCCCCAGACCTGTTACTGTCTGCGTTTCCATCACAGCCTAAAGTAACGTGAAGATTAGGCAAATAGTCTGGTGACGTAGGACTGCACGCAACTGCTCCGTTTCTCAATACCAAGTATGCAAATTTCGGACGTGCGTCCTTGGTAGTTTGGACTTTCTGGTAATTCTGCTAATGGGACAGCAGCGTACTTGATAACGTCAGTCAGCTCGCTTTGGGTACTGCAATTTTCCTCACTGTATTTACAATAAGATAATATATGATATCAAACACCACTGCCTCTTTTCGTTTTCATTTAAACATTAATAGCTGCAGAAATGTAGTTCAGGGAACGTACATATATTACAATGAAACAAAATATATCAAACAGCCTCTTTTCAGTTTCATTTTAATAAAGTTCTAAATATATATATACATTTGTATATAAATATATAAAGTTATGAAACCTAACTTTGGGCTCAGCCAAAACGATATGACCTGGAACAAATAATAGATTCATGAGACCAAAGATCACCTGTTAGATTTACCCAAAACAAATGATATCTCATGTTTAACCACTACAGAGACATCAGAGCCAGTAGCAAATGTCAGAAGGACTAGCTGATTTGAGGCTGCTCTCGTCGGGATACATGAGCACTGAACGCCCGCTGATTGCCTGGAGCTCACATCTCCACATTTTTTTAAATAGGCGCTGTCTTTATAAATAAACCGCAGATTTGAGTTTTAAACGGCTATATTCTCGCCTGAAATACTCTTAAAACTACACACAATAACAGTAATATTTAGAAAATAATAATGCGAATAAATGGTTGTTGAAATACAATGCTGTGTGAACTCAACCAATCAGCATGTTCAGCGCTCAAGTCCCGCCCCCGAAAGTTCCGGACCTTTGAAAAAGTGCTACCTCGCGAGCAGGGACTTTCTGAGGGGCAAATTTTTACCCGGAACTTTATTTAGATCCTGGTTCCTGCGGTGGAAACACACCGAGTACTGGCCAAAAGTCCCTAGTTCCTGGGAAAGTTCCAGCGGTGGAAACGGGCTTATAGGCAGCTGCTTTGTAAGGCAACAATCTGACTGACTATAGCATATAGCATAGCACTTTGTTGCTAATCTATCAGAATAAAATGCATAGCACACATGAAAACTAAAGTGTTTTTTATCAATATTTAGTAGTAGTCATTCAGTATAGAATGAATCATGTTTATCGTTTAAATTCATCTCACTTCATTGTTTGAATCGAATGGCCAAAAAAGTTGTTTTGGAAGGCAGCATAAACATGTATCTGTGACATCTGCCTTACATAGGGTGCTCACTAAGATTTGGAACAGAGCCATACATAGCCCCATCATTATTTGTTGATATATAATTGTTTCCTGTATTGTCTGTCTTTTTTTTTCTATTGCTATCCTTCGTCTGTGGTTGATCCACAATTATTTCTCAGACACCCCAACATGTAACCCGCAATTATGATAAACCCTGGCTGACAAACAGCAAATCAGCTACTCCTCTTAAATCATCTGACTCCTTTGACAGCCAAGGGTCATCCAATGAGGTATAGTGCTTAAGAAACAAGTGACAAATCCCCATCTAATCTCCGTCTCCTGACCTCTGTCTCTGCCTTGTTACTGATCTAATTGCTTCCTGTGTGGATTTGGGATTGAGTTCAATCTCTTTCTCTGGCTTTGCAATGATGCATGGAAGTGGTCCGTTATTAAGGCGGATGTGTTTGCTTCGACCCTCTGATTCTGATCTTTAAACCTCTCTTTCGCAAAGGGGATGGTGTGATTGTCTTAAATCAAATCAGCTTGATATACAAAGACAGCCTGGGCCTTTTCTAAACTTCACCCTCTTTCTCATTCTTCAAGCACTAACTGAATAATGAACAGTTTTCTGTCCTCTCGCCACTAAAACTCGATGCTTGTAAGATCTGTTCTACATCCAGAACTCGAAAGGGTTTCTTTCTCCGGATGTGTATGGCTGAATTTGATTCAGTGTAAGCAGTATACTGTCATTTTCTTGTCTGTCGTGCATTTATTCCATCATTCTGGACATGTGTTGTACACACTGCAAAGATTTGAGATTAACAAACACATTGAGTTGTGGGAGTGATATGAAATACTGAAGTCACTCCTAAACTACCTCTGTCAAGTTAATGTTTCAGTCAGGATTTCGGTATATCTGCATTTTAGAAAGCTCTTCTTAGCCAAAGGTTGCTGTCTTCATTGTCCTGTTCTAATTGGCCTATTCGTTTCTGAATCATGACATCTTTCAGAGCACCCCTATTCAGGGCAGCAAGCTTCGTCTTCCAGGCTATCTGTCGGGAAAAGGCTTTCAGTCAGGAGAGGATGGATCCTTGATAAACGCTGCAGTCATGAAGGCCAGAGGTCAAGCCATGGGTGAGTCGGACACACCTTCTGTTCTTCATAATGTTTTGCTGCTGCTTCTGTGCTGAATATTCACAAAACACTACATTGAGTTTATTGAACTCTGTCGCTTGTTATTATGAGACTATAAAGATCAGTTTTGTCGGATCAAATCTGTCAAGTATTCAGCTATGCATCAGAACACAGAACAAAACTTTTAAATATTATGTAGGCTAAAATAAACTTTTAAATATTACTGTCTAATATGAATAATAATATGTGACTGTAATAGGGCTGCCCCAACTAAAGATTTTTCTAGTTGAATAGTAGGTTGTCCATTTAAGCTATTAGTCCACTAATCGCATGTTTAAATTAATTTAGGTACTTAATTACTTGCATTCAAGCACACTCATAAAGCTTGCTGCAATGTACCCGCAAAAGTAATGACTATGTGTTGGGAAAATAGCCAGATATAATTATTCATTAATAAACAGGTGTTTTCTTAGTGTATCAGCTGCAAAGATGCTGACTCACCAGCTCTGCAGCACAGTTACATACCTTTAGAGAGTAATGCACTTTCCATACTGATTACATAATCAGAGAAATTCTGTTTTTGATTTGAATTGGTTCATTTTAAAGTAGACATGTCAAACTTTCTATATATATATATATATATATATATATTTTTTTTTTTTTATGTCTGTGAGGCAAGTAGTCTATAGACATTTTGGTTCGTTTTTTTGTGACATACTCCAGAAAATATCTCTTTTTATCTTAGTCATGAGCCATTATGTGGATGTCAGGGTCATAGTACTGAGATGTAACTGACTGTGAACTTTCTTCTCAGGGTTGAGTAAGATCCCAAGCAGGCCCGGCAGCAAAGCAGGAAGCCGAGGGAGCAGCCGCCGTGGCAGCGACGCCTCAGACTTTGATATTTCAGACATCCAGTCGGTTTACTCGGACGTGTTGGAGACAGTGACAGTGACGCCGCGCTCAGCCTCACGCCAACACGGAGGCAAACCCTCCAAAATCCCAACTCCCCAACGGAGGAGCACCCCTACTAGCAAACTGGCTAAGACCACCAAGAGATAGTCAACAGTCCAGGCCCCAGAAGCGGCCATGTTCCAGGCCTCCGTTCTGACAGCACTGGCTTAGCGCACACTAAATCGAGACTGGACAGACATAGATTCACACTAAAGACTGCAAAGTGTTATCATTTTTAAAAAGCGTAGCGAGATGTAAATTATTCTGTTGTGAACGTGAAAAAGGAAGTTCATGTGGAGTGTGTGTGTGGAATGCAATGGCTTTGTGTATTTGTCCTGTACTTTACGTGAATGTTGCGTCAATAATATTTTGTTTGATCACTGGGAAAGGTCAGCGAACACAAGAAGACTGTATGTTGTTAGGTAAACTAACACTTTTCCACATGTTTGCGTTGAGGGAGAAGCTGAATGTACAGTCGTTTCCTCCAGCGGACATGCTGGTTGGCGATAATATGCCCTTGTATTCTGCCAGGACACCACAATTATTTATTCATCTATTTAAAGTGCAATGACCAGCTGCTGTTATGCATTTAAAGGGCAATTCGATACCACTGCTACACTACAACTGTAACCCCTGCTATCATACACTACAGTTAATCCAGATCATGGCCTTTAAACTTGCGTATAAAACACCCGTCTGTAGCACCCGCAGTAATGTTCGCTTCTATCAAATCACAGATTGCGTGCCACCTTACTGACTAGAACTTTCTGACTAAAAACATTCATAAGTGCAATCATGCCTGTGTACTCTATGGTTCCTTTTTGCCTGAGTGATGCAAATTACTCAACTTTTTGTAATAAATATGCTTGCAGAAAGCTCAACAATATATACAACCTTCAAAGTCTCATTTGTTTCCATCTGTCCAAGGTCTCTGACTTCTGTAAAACATCCAAGCGAAGAGGCATTTTGACTGAGGCACATTTACGCAACAATGTCTCAGGCCGGCGATTAACAAATCTTGAGAAGAAAATAAAACAGTTTATGAGACTAAAGTGCAGTCAGTGGCAGTCCCTTTGCCAGTAAATAGGACCAAAAACATCTTGTGTAAAGCTGCCAGATGGCCTTTAATGTTGGTTGGATTAATGTTAGTGTGTGGGAGTGTAATCAGATGAGATGACATGAGGTCAGGGATGCTGTGGCGTTAATCCTCAACATCCTCCTATAGGATATGACAGCCTAGTCCTGCACAACACCTGACAGCAGGGGGTAAAGGTAATTTTGATTTGGCTTTTGTCAAGGTCTACATCAATCACAAGCCATTCGATATCATGATACCATGTCATGTCATACAGTGCATATTTCAGTGTGTTGCATCATAAACTAGAAAACCAAAATATTTTTGTTTCTTCCCCGTAAGACCTTCGTTCATCTTCGTAACACAAATTAAGTCGGACTTCAGGAACTCAGGAACTTCAGGAACTCGAGCTGCATTGTCCCTATCTTCTTCCTCACCTACCAGATCCAGCGCCCTGCTCTCGGGATTCGGAAGCCTGCGGTTCTTTCACCCCGGTGAGAGGGCTCGACGCTCCGCCTGTCTTCCTCTGAGGAGGTTGATATGGAGGGCGTCGACGAGCTCGCCAGTTGCACAAGCATCAGTTACACAAGCATCAGTTACACAAGCATATTAGGCCTAATATTATAATGAGCAGCTTACTGTGAAGCGGAGATCGCGCAGTCAGCTCTCGGGAAAAGAGCGGGGCTGATTGTGCTTTACCCGCGCGCATTATGTCTGGGGAGTGGAGCTCGCGCAGTCAGCTCTCGGGAAAAAGAGTGGGGCTGATTGTGCTTTACCCGCGCACAAGCATTATGTCTGGGGAGTGGAGCTCACGCAGTCAGCTCTTGGGAATAAGGGGCTGATTGTGCTTCTCCCTGCTGAACGCTCCACTCCCACCGGGCACGCTCCGAGGAGTGTGTCAGGGCTTGCAAGCTCGCGGTTCGGTCCCGCTATTGCTGAGGCATGGCGGCGATTCAGATCACAGGGATCGCATGTGGATCTAGCGAATGGGTTGGAGACGGCTCGTCCTTTCTTCACCTGCACTCCCTAGATCTAGCGCTCTCTCTCGAGGCTCGGAAGCCTGCGCTGTGGTTTCTTCCCCCTCTGAGTGAGAGCTCTGCTGCTGTAGCTATTTTTCTCCAAGGAGATTGATATTGTTTGTGTGACCAAGCGGCTCGCGCGCTGCCGAGGCAACGCGTGTGTTACATCATTTTCGATTTTTGATATGAATCTTATTACACCAGACTGTGTTTACTCGTCTGGTTGTTTGATTGCATTTAATTCTGAGGAATAAAATTAAGTATTTATCTGACTATGAGAAGTTAGATATATAGGGGCTCTTGGGATAAACATTTCTTGAGTAAGAGCATGTGTTTACCTCTCTTTCTCTGAGGAGGTTGAGGTGGTCAACAGGGGCTGCTGGGCGGGAGCAGCCCCAACCAACCGTGTTCCAGCTCCTCATATAGGGAGCGTCACTTCTTGTACTCCTCTGAATTTAGAGTCTGAGTGGCGCTCCAGGGCCGAAAGCTTCTAACGGAAGGCGAATCTGCGGACCGTTATTCCCACTGGATAGTCTTCAGCTAAAACGTCCTGACGCCTAAGGCCCAGGACTTCTGAGGGCCGGCCCCCTCTGGGGAAGAGCGGTGTACATCTCATTATACGGTGGCCGTCCCTCCTCAGTGCTCTCAGGAGGTCGATCTGCCAATCCTGCCACCTACGGTGCTTCAGGGCGCAACGGTCGTCGGCGAGCGGTTCTCTCAGTCACTGCCTGGAAACGTAGCGGTACTAAGAGGCTCGCTACCTCTTCGGAGGTTTCTAGGGCAGCTAGTTCGGCCGTTCCCTGCTGGTCCCCACTTCAGGGCACCGACCTAGCCGCTCTAAGTGCGCCAGAGGCCAGTCTCGAGAGACTGGTTCCCTTAGTAGGTCACCTGGCGGCGTGGGAGCTCCTGCCAAGCGTGTCTCATTGGGTCCTGCCCCGAGCAGGCTCTGGTTCTATCAGTCTAGTCTTCATAGGAGATGACGCAGGTCTGAGGACTGTCGTTTTCAATAGGAGACTTCAGCTTAGAGAGTCCTGATGCCATGGCTCAGGACTTCGGAGGGCAGGCCCCTCTGGGGAAGAGTGGTGTACGCCTCATTATACGGTGCCCATCTCTCCTCAGTGCCCTCAGGAGATCGATCTGCCAACCCTGCCACCTACGGTGCTTCAGGGCGCAGCGGTCTCCGCGAGCGCTTCTCTCAGTCACCGCCCGGAAACGTAGTGGTACTAAGAGACTCACTACCTCTTCGGAGGTTTCTAGAGCAGCTAGTTCAACCGTCTCCTGCCGGTTCACCGCTTCAGGGCACCGACCTAGCCGCGCTGATTACACCAGCGATCTCATTATTCGTTATCTCAGTCTCGAAAAAAAAGAGACTGATTCCCTTAGTAGACCTTTTTGGCAGCGTGGAAACTTCTGCCAAATGCGTCTCAGTGGGTCCTGCACACTGTAGAAGAGGCTACCGAATCAGGTCGGTTCTTCTCCTCCTCGTTTCAATGGGGTCATTCCCACTCTGGTGGGCTCCAAGCAGGCTCTGGTAATGGAACAAGAAGTTAACACTCTCTTGAGGAAGGAGGCCATCGAGGTGGTCCCTTTTCTTGACAGACAGTTTGGGAGGTTTGCTTTTGGAGGCAAAAGCTTACCAGGTTCTTCCGTCTGCCTTGCACTCTCACCCCACACTTTCACGAGGTGTGTGGATGCTGCTCTGGCTCCTCTGTGACTCCAGGGCATCCACATACTCAACCACATCGATGCTTGGTTGATATTAGCTCAATCTGAGCAGATGGCGGTTCAGCATCGAGATGTCGTTCACGCTCACTTGTAAGAGCTGGGGTTTAGCCTTAACGCCAAGAAAAGAGTGCTTTCTCCAGTACAGAGAACCATTTATCTGGGTGTGGTGTGGGATTCGACCACGATGCAGGCACGTCTGTCTCCTGCTCGGTTTGAGTCGATCCTCACTGCAGTCGCGAGAGTGAGAGAAGGCCGGTCACTCACTGTCAGCAGTTCCAGAAACTGCTGGGTCTGATAGCAGCTGAGTCCAATGTGATACCTTTTGGCCTGCTGTACATGAGACCCCTACAGTGGTGGCTCAAGACTAAGGGGTTCTCCCTGAGGGGAAACCCGCTCCGCATGCTCAAGGTCACGCGGCGATGCCTACGTGCCTTAGACATGTGGAGTAAGCTTGGTTCTTGTCTCAGGGCCTGGTGCTGGAAGCTCCTTGTCGCCGCGTAATGCTAGTGACGGATGCGTCCCTTACCGGTTGAGGAGTGGTCATGAGTGGCCGCTCAGCCCGCGGTCTGTGGAGCGGCCGCCATCTCACGTGGCACTTCAACTGCCTGGAGATGCTGGCTGTTTCTCTAGCATTGAAACTTTCTCCCAGACCTAAGAGGTCGCCATGTGTTGGTGCACCGACGACACAGCGGCGGTTTCTTAAATCAACCACCAGGGAGGTCTGTGTTCGCGCTCCATTTTCAGGCAAGCGCACCAGATCCTTGAGTGGTCCCAGGGCAAACTCCTCTCGCTGAGAGTAGTTCACATTCCTGGGCATCTCAATATGGGAGCAGACATCCTGTCGAGGCAGGGGCCGAGGCCCGGGGAATGGAGACTTCACCCTGATGTGGTGAAGCAGATATAGAAAGTTTTTGGTTCTGGAGAGAGTGTGCCTGGACGGGGTCAGTCTACTGTTGGTAGCCCCGTTCTGACCAGTCCAAGTATGGTTCTCGGACCTGATTTCCCTTCTCGACGGCTCTCCATGGGAGATTTCCGTTAGGAGAGATCTCCTCTCACAGGCGGAGGGTACTATCTTTACCCCCGCCCGGAGCTGTGGAAGCATGGGTGTTGCCCCTGGGGGGGGGCACAACTCGCAGCTACCTGTCTCTCAACCGAGGTTGTTGAGACCATTCTCCAATCCAGAGCTCCCTCTACGAGGAAACTGTATGCCCTGAAGCGGAATCTTTCACTTCTTGGTGCAGAGACCGCCAGCTCGACCCAGTTTACTGCCCAGTTGGTACAGTGCTTGAGTTCCTGCAGGCCTGTTTCTCTGCAGGGTTGACCCACTCCACCTTGAAAGTCTACGTGTCGTGGCCAGTCAGTGGGCAGACACCCCCTAGTTACACGTTTCCTCCACGGTGCACTGAGGCTGAGGCCTCTGGCCAGCGAAGCTTATGCTAAGCGGTGGATCAGGATGCTTTTTCATAGCCTCGAGTCCTCTGATCTCCCCTCTTCTTTAGGGGTCAAGACTCACTCCTTCTGAAGGCCGCCATCTCACGTGGCACTTCAACTGCCTGGAGATGCTGGCTGTGTTTCTAGCATTGAAACACTTTCTCCCAGATCTAAGAGGTCGCCATGTGTTGTTGCACCGACGACACAGCGGCAGTTTCTTAAATCAACCACCAGGGAGGTCTGCGTTCGCGCTCCCTTTACAGGCAAGCGCACCAGATCCTTGAGTGGTCCCAGGGCAAACTCCTCTCGCTGAGAGTAGTTCACATTCCTGGGCATCTCAATATGGGAGCAGACATCCTGTCGAGGCAGGGGCCGAGGCCCGGGGAATGGAGACTTCACCCTGATGTGGTGAAGCAGATATAGAAAGTTTTTGGTTCTGGAGAGAGTGTGCCTGGACGGGGTCAGTCTACTGTTGGTAGCCCCGTTCTGACCAGTCCAAGTATGGTTCTCGGACCTGATTTCCCTTCTCGACGGCTCTCCATGGGAGATTTCCGTTAGGAGAGATCTCCTCTCACAGGCGGAGGGTACTATCTTTACCCCCGCCCGGAGCTGTGGAAGCATGGGTGTTGCCCCTGGGGG